GGGGGGGTGGTTGAAGTTCATCCAAACTGGCCGCACATTTTGAAACCAGCAGTAGCAAGATGTCGGGTCTTACTCCGACTACCGACCCGACGATCAACATGTTATCTTTACCTCATACAATAGAAAGAATATTATGTATAAGCATATACAGATTACTCACCAGCTGTTGCCCATGTCCTGTATATACCTGTGTTTCACCTTCAGCTCCCCCGCAGCCACCAACAACAATCCAGCGCCTACCAAGCGCCAAAGCGCCGCGCCGCCTGTGACAACCCCTCTTGCAACCCCATATTAATCCTGCAGGAATGCTCTCTGCTGGCTGCAGCATGCTTGCGGCAATGGAGGGAAACGGGGCGCGAGAGAAAACTGGTGCTTTCACCACCCACTTGCCTCAACCTCAACCCGCTCCGGCTCTACTTGTTCCTAAGCTCCAGTACATTGTTTCCAGTACTGTGACCCCATCAATATCTATTCAACTATGGTCCGAGTGATTTCACTATCGTTTCTATTAGCAGCCCTCCCATTTGCTACACTGGCAGCCGCTCAACCTCAAACCGCCCTACTCGATTACGACTCCTCTGTCGCCGCAGCAAACGCGACTGGAGTGTATAAGCTTCCAGGCCTTTTACTCGATAGCAATGGAATAAGCCTTTCCAACGATTCATCACAAGCATGGCACCTTACACAATCTGTCACCCGTTACTCATCCAACCTCGTCACCATTGGGAGTAGCTATCTCACCAGCCCCTCCTTAATTAACAGCTCCCTCCAGTACGTCGCCTGCGCTCGGTGGTTCTCCGTCCCAGATAGCTTAGCTAGTGCGAGCCAGGACGATGGATCGTGCTCTTCCATCATCAGCGCAGATTGCATAAGAGACCTAAAGAATCGGTACCTCACGGGAGCGGCGGCTTTAGAGGACCAAGACCGTGCGACGAATACCGCCTGCGGTAAAGTTTTCGCCTCCGCTGCGAAGCTGGACTCTCCAGCTTCTTGCCGGAGTCCGACGTGGAGCATATCTCAAGGCTCGCAGGGATTACTTAGTGGGTCTATTCTTGTTACGTCCTCCGCAGGAATCACTAACGTGTCCTCTCTCCTAGCCATCCAGACCGACGCTAACACGACATCCCCTTGGCCCTTTCACGTCGAACTCTTCGACACGCGTGACTATAGCGGTAATCCGTTCGGCCTCGCCGACGCGCAGCGCGCAGCTCCCAGCTCCCAAAGAAGTTTCTAATTACACCGCGTACGACACCGCTGTGCGGTCCATCACGCCGTATATTATTATCCGCGTCGCCAACGCGACGGCAACAAATCAGGACGGATTCGCAGATGTGCAGATGGTATGTGCGCGAGCGAAGGAAGTTAAGGCTGGGAGTAGAGTTCCGGAGATCAAGACTGGTGCTGGGACAATAGTGGGTGTGGGTGCGGGTTGGATCATTAGCTTGGTCGCGCTAGTAGCTGCAAGCGTGGTTTCTTAAAGGAGATCTGTAGCCTGTTGCGTCTATATATGCAAATGTTGATTGTGGAGTAACTGGTTGTTACGAGGCTAGATGCATGCTTACGGTTTGACTGCATAGCAAACCAGAGGTCCAGAGGACGAGCGTCAGCTAGAAGACGGACGATTCACGGCGTCGGGATTGCTACTCGGACGTCGAATTTGTTCCACAAGATCACTCTATGTTGCGCAACGGGTCTCCACCCACAGCTCTTCAGCGTCGCCTACTTTCAGGACCGCCGCTGCTCGCTAAAGGCCAAAGCAGCCTTCCCGTCCTGGGATGAAATGCCATTAGTCGCCGCCATTCATTCTTAGTCGGAGGATTGCCAAATCACCGGAGTAGAGCGCATAGCTTCCGCGGAAAAACTCAAAGTTAACGATAACCTCATTTCGAGTGGCTGTTCTACTTGAACACATTCGTCCATTTTCGGAGCAAGGCGTCCACTTCGTCGATGGTCTGTGAGTCTGTGGCGTTGACGACTTCGACTAAGGGATCATGCTCTGGTATATCAGCCGCTGGATCGCTGCCGGCGGTGCTTGAGCACCTTGAGCTTATAGGTGGTACTCCGAATGGCTCGAAAGGCCTACCACCTACACCTGCTCTTCCCCTTACAGTACCGAAACATTCTACAATCTCAAGCCATTCGTTAATCCTGCCAGCACGACCGCTAGCGCCAAACTCCTCATCCTCACCGAATATCTCCCCGCCACTGCTAGCATTGAAGCTGCTCCTCCCTCCATCAAAACCATCCTCCGCTGCCGACAGATCCCACTGAAAGCCCGCCAGCGCCGGATACTGCGCTAGCAGGGCGGCCGGCAGAGCGTATGCTGGGTCGGCCCGCGCCCTATGAGCCGACGACGACTGCGGGAAAGTGGCGGCACCAAACCCACCCTGCTGCGGAGGCTGGGACATCTGCATGCCGAGCCCGACCTGCGGACCCATCTGCGATGAGCCCAGCATATCCGTGTCCATTCCTTGCTGCTGTTGCTGCTGCTGTTCCCAGCCCTTCTCCCTTACCTCCTCGTCCAGCAGCGGCCGGATGCAGACGCAGCCGCCCTCGGAGCGGAAGTGGCGGCCCAGGGCGTCGGCGCGCGCGAAGCGCCGACCGCAGCCCCAGTTGTTGCCATCCTTAAGCATGCCGCGGCAGACGAACTTCTTCTCGCCTACGTGTAGGCCCTCATGGCGCTTGCAGTCGTGTTGGCGCGCGAAGGCCTTACCGCAGATGTTGCAGACAAAGGGGTGCTCGTTAGTGTGCATACGGAGGTGCGAACGGAGGTTGTAGGCGCGAGTGAAGCGCTTGGGGCAGATGTTGCACTGGAAGGTGGCCGGGTATTTCTGGGTGCGCTTGTTGGGGGTTTGTGAGGAGTCGCCCCCGTTGGATAACGGACGCGACGCGGCGAGGTCGAGGATATAGTCGCGATGAGGGATGCAGGATGTTGAGGACCGGCGAGAGCCTTTTGAGGATGGCGACGGTGATCGAGATAAACCCTTGGCGGCGTTCGGTGAGAGACTATTGGAGGGATCGGAGCCTGGAGTTGTAGCGCGAGAGGGCTGGCCGGTGAAGGAGTCGGACTTCGCACGCATGCGGTTGCGACTTCGGCCTAGGTCTTTATTAGTATCATTAAGTGCGGTATGAAATATGTTCTAGCTTACTTCTTTCTAGTGGGCTTAGTGCATTCTCTTGGGCCGCTAGTTTGGGTGGCTCAAAGCTCGCTTGCCGCGAGGGAGGTGCAAAGTCGATGCTGATTTCTGGAGGCGACATCTGGTCAGCTTGACCTAGGTAAGCCAATCTATTACGCTGGTTCAACCGCGGGAATTGCTCTTGGCCCTGGCCTAGGAGCAGATCTAGCCTGCTGGTTTGACTGCCAAAAGGCGGGTTCATATCCTGATTAAGGTCAAAATCGCTAGTGTTTGTGAATGCAGGCGGAGCATTCTGAGGCATCAAGCGCGGTTGGATTGCGAGGCGCTGCCAATACCCCTGAGGATTGAAGACCTCGTCAAGCATCACAGCGGTTTGCCTGTATTCCTTGCGTAACTTTAAACATCGTGATTCCGTCAAGCATAAGGACTGGGATAGTGCGGGCTCGACAGCCTGGATCTTCTTAAGCAGTGCACCGATATGATTGATACAGGTATCGAGTTCCCTGCTAGTGATGTGAAAGTCGTTTTCCCAGCCGACTTTGTGCTTATCGCTCGCACCGCAAAGACATTTTGCTGGCATTGAATTGGTTAGAAGGGTAGAAGAACCTGCGGAGATGTTTTCTGACACGGTGTGCATGCTGATATATGGGTTGACTGAAGTCGCGGCTGAATCCTCCATCGAGCAAGCTGATTCCTCGGAATTCTGGGCGCCTTGAAGAGCAAATTGCCTGAAAGCTTCTTCGATCTGGACGAATTTCTGCGTCGATTCCTGGTTTATCTTGATCAGGGAAGCGATTTGTCGACGTTTATCCTCCGCGGTGGACTCCTGATTCCGTCTTTGCAGATATTAATGTCTAGAACCCAAGAAGGAGGCTTCGTATACTCACTTAACAGCGACATCCCTCGCATACTTCAGCACGTTGAGCATTAATAACAACGTGCTCTTCAAGCTCTCCAGATTACTCTGCAACAGCCTCATCCTCGGCTCCAACAGTGGCCATTTCAATCTCTGCAAGGCCGACAGCTTTTTCTTCCCATCCTGAGTCTTCTTGAGAGATTTCTCCAGCGCATCGCCGATCTGGTTGAAGACAGTATTGCAGCCCGTCACGGCCTTGGTGATCGTCTGCAGCGCGGATTGAGAGCATAAGTTCACCTTGGTATCCTGCTGGAGGAGCGTGCCGAGTTCCCCCATGACTGAAGAGGTTAAAGACACATCTCTTGCTATGTCCTTGATACTGCCATCAGCATGAAAGGCTGTCTCGGCATAGGTATATAGGGTAGTGGAGAGCTTGATGCCCGCGCTCGCTATCCCGACAACGGAGGCGACAATGCTCACTGGCTCCGCCATTGACCTCGTTCCAAAGACACACGGCTCAAATCATGATTATAGATCTCTGAACTCTTCGAGAGGATATTGCAAGAGCAACATAGGAATTACTCGAGATTCAGGGGAGACGATTGAGGATTCATAATATGCTAGACTAAGGTCACTAGCCCTGAGGCCTGGTCTTCTTGAAAAGCGAAAAGATTTCGTGAAGCTGGACAGAACAGGCCACTTGATGTGAGGAGACCGGTTAGTTGTCGGCAAGTTGTGCGGCTGAGAGCAGCGGTAGACCGACCGGGTCGGGTTCACGCGTATTTCTTGTCACGACGGCGTCGAGGACGCTCTTGGCACTAATATTAGTAGCGTCCACTACATTCCAGGATTCTGGCCGAATCGCTGAGCTGCCGGATGAGAACCGTTTTACATAGTCAAGGCCGCCGGCGTCGCCTCTGATCATTAGGGAAATCCCTCACGCTTTATCGCTTGGCGTATGCTAGTATCGTGAATCCTCTTGATACAAAGTCGCTGCTCTTTCCCGACGGCTTCGATACATCGCTTGAGGAGAAGAGACTCTAAAAATTGCTGTTCGTATCTAATTCACGCCGCTTGTTTACGCTCTTTCTACTTCTTCAGGACTTTCACCGTCAATAATCCGGTTTACATTGCTTAGTCGTTACTGTAAATATTACTTGAATTCCCCACTCGCGATGAGAATAGCTCGTGCTCACGTCGTTCGCCGGCCTGATGATTAAGTGGCATCGATATTATTTACGACTCCTACAAGCGCGGTTATCAACGCACCCACCGGCAAGCTTCTTTATATTTATTGTCAATTGCGCCTCGGAATATCACATACGGCCACAGATCGAGGAAAACAGAGGATCCCGTCCGCTCTCCTGCGCTTAAGCTTTGAATCGGTAGATCAGTAGTTAGGTGGGTGACCACTAGCGAATACCTACTGCTGTATGTTTTTGTCCTGCGGTCCTTTGGTGACGTTCATGCTTTTACTCCACTGAGGAACCGCGAGTCTGAATTCCAGTTGTGCACTGCTTGACTGATCGTGCAGGATTGACGGTTGGAGTCCTTCGAAAAGACTCTACTCGATGCAATGATCTAACTTTTACAGCCAGATTCGCTTTCGACTTTAAGCGGTAACAGCCGCTCTACGTAGCGACTGTAGTATTTCCTCACCCGGACCACGGGGAAGGCCGCAAGGCTCGGAAAGTTATTGCAGGCCAATCAGCTCATGTGGCATATCAGAAGGCTGAAAGAACAAAGCTGTACACATTGTAGCTCGCCGTCTTGTTATAGACAATAGAATGATGAATGGATTTATAATTCACACACGCATGCCAAGAGGACTCATTTAACCTAAAGCAAACGAAGTGACTTGATTTGAGTGAAGTAGATTCGCGCGGCTCAAATAAGTTGCAGCCGTGACCCAAAAAGATGTGTGAAGCAGCCCCGGGCGAGCTCAAACCCCTTCTTGTCCTTCTACTCTTCTTCCCTTCCTCCACCACACCGATCCTCCAAGAAACCCATAACCTTCTTCTCGCGATACACATCCATCAGCTTCACTACTAACAAATCCAACTCCAACTCACACACAAGACTAGCACAATGCCAGGACGCCTCCTCAACAAAGTGGCAATTGTAACCGGCTCTTCCAGCGGGCTCGGCCGGGCAATCGCCCTCGCCTATGCCGCCGAGGGTGCGAAGGTTGTTTGCGCTGACCTCTCTTCCACGGCGCGCAAGGACGTCGTCATCGAGAAAGAGCAGGGGAAGCCGACGTGCGAGGAGATCATTAAACTCGGCGGTGTCTCGATCTTCTTTATGGCGGATGTTGGCAATAGTAACGACCTTGAATGCCTTGTGCGAGCGGCTGTCGCGAAGTACGGACGACTTGACATGTGAGTGAGAGTGACTGCTCCTATGAACTTTGCGAAGTAGATGATGGTCTGACATGTGGTGTATAGCATGGTCAAAAACGCAGGAGTTGCAGCCGCCGGCGCAGACGGTTTGAAGCTTGTCCACGAGCTGTCAGATAAGGACTGGGACAATATGATGCGGGTCAACTCTACCGGCGTCTTCTACGGCTGCCGTGCGGCTATCAAGCAGATGATGACGCAGGACTTGCACCCAAGTGGTGATAGGTGTGTGCCATAGCAGACGGAATTGACGTATTCAGGACTAATGCATTCAACAGAGGGTGGATCATCAACACCGCAAGCGTGGCCGGACTTGTTGGTTTCGTTGGAGCTGGCGGTAAGTAGTGTCCAGTCCAGATCTTCCGGATGCTGGTATTGAAGGCACGGACACTGGTCGTTTCAAGTGCTGACGGGTCCTAGCAGCCTACTCCGCCTCGAAGGGCTCCGTAGTACAACTCACCAAATCCATCGCCCTCGAATATGCACCACACAAGATCCACAGCAACTGTCTCTGTCCTGGAGGTGAGTGGTCTCTCCCCGATCGTTAACATAGCTAACTATTGCTACAGTCGTGAACACCGCTCTGACCAAACAGCTCACGGAACACCCAGAAATGCACGACCGTATCGTTGGCATGCACCCATGGGGTCGCCTCGGCGAGCCACAAGACGTCGCTCGCGCTGCTGTCTTCCTGGCGAGCGAGGATGCGGGATGGATCACCGGCGTTCCGCTTCCAGTGGATGGCGGGTACCTCGCTCAGTAGTGGTACTATTTCAGTCTGGACCAGCTAGTGTGAGGCCGACTGGACGAGCAATGGCTCCTCCATAATACGGCTTTCCTTTATAGTGCCTCCTTCGTGGCTTCCATCTGACGGCCGTTCCTCAATGGCTTGTCCTCGGTGGCTTTCCCCTGATGGCGCTTCTCTGACAGATTTTGCTTGCTTGCTTTCCTTCCAGCCTTGCTTCATCGTAGCAGCGATTTTCCATCTCATCGGTAAGCAGTCGCAAGATTGGCCGGTTTTCTAGAGCAGCACCTGTACTGGCACCTCGAGGAAGCGCTGGAGAACGGAGATGTTTCAGGGAGGAGCCTATAACGTCCATAATTCCGGTTTCTGCGCACTAGCATAGCACAAACGATAGCTCCATACTATACCATTCCCGAGCACGCACTCATAGAGGCTAGCGTTGAAGGCCGATTTCCTCAACCTCCCGTGCCCGTCCTATGTCCTACCACATTTTCAGCCCTGCTCCACGCCGCCATCATATACACTACCGTGTCCACCCACTCCCCCTTAACCTCCTCCGCCCTCTCCGTTAAAGACTCCCTCACAAACCCCAACCTCTCAGCCAGCTTCCACGATCCCGTATTCCTCGGATCACACTCAATCTCCAGCCTCACGTTCCCCAGCAGCGGTATAAACGCCCGCATCGCCTCAGTCGCATATCCTCTCCCCCACGCCTCCGGCATAACCGCGAACCACAGCGACGCCTTGCCTCCATCTATCCACGCGCCGACAAGGCCGAGGAAGGCACCATCGTGGAGTTCCACAGCCAACTCGACGTGCTGGCGGGGGGATTCTGAGCGGGTTGCGATGATCTCGTGGACGACGGATGAGGCTTCCGCGAGGGTGCGGGGGGGCCAGGTTTGGTACCTCACGACTTCGGGCAGGGATTCGAGGGCGTAGACGGAGGGAACGTCCGATGTGGAGAATTCGCGGAGGGTCAGGCGGTCGGTTTGGACGTGCATTGTGGAGCTGCGCAAAAAGCGGTCGAGGACGTGGAAGACGGTTTAGGGGTAGCTGTAGTCATGTTTCTAGTTGTTTGAAATTGTGTTGAGCGGTCGCTTGACACCGTTTTCATGTTAATGCTGGACTTTCAGCTGATCTCGGAGGTAGTTGTTAGAAGCTTACTAAGCCGGGTTACGATTTCCGCAAACGCGGTGGTCCGCATCATCTGAGTAGCTGCTTAGAAGAAAGTCAGTCAGGACCCATATTGTACATGAGGATGTGGTCGTAGTCGCATAAGGGTGAATCGGCATAACTGCTTGTAGGCTGCTCTCCTCTTCTTCTCTGTTGAGCGGAGAGAAGGCCGTCGGACGGGGATGCGATCCAAAGAGTTGGGAGCATCTGAATAATGAGGCTGTGCATCGATGGAGGTATATCATTTGTACGAATCCCACAAGCGTCTGGGAATCAGTTGAAACATTCCATATCAAATCAAAGTGTTCAATACGATGGCTTCGTCATTATCTGCCGAGACCCAGCCTAGCAAGAACATTGTCAGAGTCAATGCCTCAGACGCCACAACTTTCGTACAGTCCGTCCTTGTCGGCAACGGCGTCTCTCCATCCAATGCAGCTATCGTAGCCAGATGTCTAGTAGCAGCCGACCTCCGGGGCGTCGACACCCACGGCATCAACCGCATCCCCTCCTACGTGTCCCGCATCCGACATGGCGTCCTCTCTGCCAGCGCAGACCCCGTGCTCCACCAGATCACGCCAGTGGTGGCCCAAGTAGACGGGCACAACGGCTTCGGCTTCCCCGCCGCACATCTTGGGATGATCCGCGCAATCGCTATGGCGCAAAACTTCGGCATCGGAATGGTGTCAATAAAGCACTCGAACCATTTCGGGATGTCTGCCTGGCTTGTACAACAAGCCATCGATGCAGGGATGATGAGCATCGTCTTCACCAACTCGAGCCCTGCGCTGCCGGTCTGGGGCGGGCGGGAGAAGTTGATGGGGGTCTCGCCGATTGCGTGCGGCGCACCGGCTGGGAGGGAGAAACCGTTTATCCTTGACATGGCGCCGAGTGTGGCGGCAAGGGGGAAGGTGTATAAGGCGCTCAGGCGTGGGGAGAAGATTCCGGGGGACTGGGCGCTTGATGGCGAGGGCAGGCCCACTGATGATCCGGCGGCGGCGCTGGAGGGCGTCATGCTTCCAATGGGCGGTCCGAAGGGGTCGGCACTGGCGGTCATGATGGACGTCTTCTCGGGGGTCCTGTCTGGATCGGCGTTTGCGGGGGGTGTCGCGAATCCGTATGATCCGTCTAGGCCGGCAGACGTCGGGCACTTCCTCGTAGCGATCAAACCGGATCTCTTCATGGGCTTGGAGAAATTCAAGGAGCGGATGGACTATCTGTATAGGCGGGTTGTGGGGTCGGAGAAGATGGCGGGAGTGAACAGGATATACTTCCCAGGCGAAATTGAGCAGCTGACGAACGAGGAACGACTTCGCGATGGGATCCCGTATGTCCAGTCTGAGGTTGAAACGCTGAACAAGGAGGCTGCGCTTGTCGGTGTAGAGAACCTCAAGACTATGGAACAATCAAACGAAGACGCCTGATACCTACCTACAGGTTGTTCGGTTTCCACAAAGAGTTGGATAGTGTCTAGCTTGAGCGGGAGAATTTTCACACGGCTCGGTATAACGGCAAAGACGATTGCATGCACAGACAGCACTTGGAGGAGGAAAAGGCATTGATTGGGAGCTTCCAAGATGTTGAGTAAATTCTGAGAGCATTATGCGCCACGCTTGCCGCTGGTGAGATGTGAGCAAAAGGGTTTTTACAAGTCCGGAAGAGGTGAAGCGCTCCCATAACTTCTATGCACCTGAGGTGTTTTGCTTTTGCCATTCACTGACTGACTGTTGGCATGCCGACAGCGTAGACTACTCTTGCGAGCAGATCTCAATCCTTCTGTGATCGGCGCATGGGTCGAAGGCGGGCTCTCGCTTTCCTTTTCTCTTTCTCAGACTAGCCAACTGTTTATCAGTGTCTCCGCTGTGCTCATAATTTACTTGATGGTAGATCAAGCGTGGTCGGAGATGGCCAAGAGATCATCCGGTCGAACTGCCCTGCTTACTGTGTCCTTGCTCATGCATCGCCCTGCCCGTGGATGATGTCCCTGTTAAGATTGATCTTCTCGAGTATCTTATCCGCGCCCCGTTCCACCAGCAGCCTAGCCATGTCCCACCCAAACTGGTCCGCGTCCTCTCGACTTGCTATCCGGCGCGTCATCTCCGCTTGGGCGGCTTCCTTGCCGTCAAGACTGACTACGATGGCGCGGAAGGTCAGGGTGCCAGAGGCCGTGTCGTCGTTCTGCCCACTTACTACCTCAGTCCCGTTTTCTTGCCCTTCTACCGTACTGGTACTCTGTTGCTGGTCTTGCGCAGCCCCATCCACCGCCGCCACTTCTCCGTCCCTCGTGCCCCTCGCCCCATCAACCCACTCCGTCTCCACCCCAATTGGCACCGAACACCCTCCCTCTAGCGTCCTCATCAAACTTCTCTCCGCCAAACACATCCTCGTCGTCCTCTCACACCCCACCTTCCCCAAAATCTCCCTGATATCTCCATCCTTTTCCCTGATCTCAATACCTAGCGCGCCCTGGCCGACCGCATGCAGAATCCCGCCCTCCCGACTCGACAACAGCGCCGTGATACGCTCGCCTAAGCCTAGCCGCAGCAGGCCCGCGGCCGCAAGGATCAGGGCCGAGTACGGGGAGTCAGGGGCGTCGAGCTTGGAGAGGCGCGTCCCGACGTTCCCGCGGACGGAGGCGAAGGTGAGATGGGGGTACAGCCCGACGAGTTGGGCGGAGCGGCGCACGGAGGAGGTGCCGATTATGGAGCCGGGAGGGAGGGAGGAGAGGAGGTCGTGGGAGGGTTTGGGGGTGAATGGAGAGGGTAAGAGGGAGGGGCGCATGACAAGGGCGTCGCGGGGATCTTCGCGGGGGAAGATTGCGCCGATGGAGAGGGAGGCGGGGAGTTGGGTTGGCATGTCTGGAGTGTTCCTACATGTTAGCCCTCTTGGTCAACTTTTACTCCGGCATTCCTCCGGAGGTAAGAGGAGTAGCTGTTTGCTGTTGACGATGCGCAGCGAGAAGATATTCCAAACCCACCCTTCAAACTATGCACCACCAAATCTAGCTTTCCCTCCAAAAGCAACGCTTCCAGCTCATGGGTCCACAGCGCCTTCGCCCCCATCTCATGCAGCGGCGTAACCTGATTCTTGTCCCCCATCGTCGCCATCGCGTGGATTGTGTAGTCGCGGTCCGGCCATGCTTTCTTGAGCGCCGCCTCGACAATATCGGTCTGCTTGAGGGCGAGTAGGGAGCGTCGGGTGCCGATGTTGATTACTGGGAGTGTGGAGGTCGAGGACTCGGATTGAGGGTTTGTGGGTTGGGAGGTATCGAAGGATATTTCGGAGGTGGCCATCGGGTTTGGAGTTGGATGTGGAGAACTAGGTAAGATGGAGTTTTGTGCGGTTGTTGCATGCTGACTGCTAGAACCGGAGTCTCGGCAATTATTTTTTTGGTGGGGCAAACCGCTGGACCCTTGGACGCTGACCACCTGTTTCCGCGTACCCTATAGTAGCTTCACGCGTACCATTGTCGCTTCGTCAGCCTGCAAGCTTGTTCACTATATAGAGAGAGCTTTAAGCCCCTTGCGCCTTAGCAATCGCCTCAAATTCCTCCCTAACACTTCTCTCCCAATCTTCCTTCGTCTTCACCGGCTCCCAACCGAGTAGCTCCTTCGCCAATCCCGTCTTCGTGCGCGCATTACTTGCGAAACCTAGCTCCGCTAGCTGCGGGTCACCACCGGCCCACTTCTTCGCGGCATCCTCCAGAGAAATCTGAGCGACTTCTGCACTCTCCAACTTGCCCAACTCCTTCCCCGCCTTCCCGATCAGCTCCGCCAAACTCCTCCACGTGAACTCCCCCGTCTCCGAGAAATAAATCCCTTCTTCGCCTTGTGGGATCGCCTCGCCCTGCACGACCTTTAGCAGCAACTGCTCCCAGAGCACCGTCAAATCCTCAATGTGCACGTAGTTCCATACGCCCTCTCCCTTTCCGACGGTCTCGGCCCGGTCGGCTTTCAACGCGGCTTTCACCAAGCTGGGGATCTGGATGCTCAATCGGTTTCCCACCTTCGCCGATCCCATCCCGTAGATAGTCGGACTCATGATGATGTACGTCTTCACGCCGACTTCTTTGCCCGTCTGCACAACCACGACGTCGGTGGTGCGCTGGGCATATTGCTCTAGCTCCTCGCGCTGTACCTCGAACTCGTATATGTTGTCTCTGTCGCTGAAAACACGGGTTTGCACATAGCCGGTGATGGGGCGGTCCGCGAGGTTGGAAGTGCCGGATTGGTGCAGGAAGTAGACATCCTTGCCTGTCTTTCTCTTCCGTGCCGCAAGGCCGAGGATTTCCGCCCGGGCGCTGGCGGTGTGGTAACCGGAGGCAAGGTTGAGGACAATGTCGTGTGAGCTGGCCGCTACTTGGATAGCATCGAGGTCGTCGAGAGACTTGATGATGATTGGCTTAACACCTAAATCGGCGAGCTGAGCGGCTTTGTCCTCGCCCCGGACAAGAGCAGAGATGGATAGGGCGCGGATGCTGGAGTTGCTGGAGGACAGGAGAGTTGTGAGGACAGAGCCGCCGCTGCAGGCACGTCAGTTGAGTTTCATAAGGAGGGAGAAGGCAGGGTATCCTTGCATGTAGCCGGTTGCACCAGTTAGAAGAACTTTGAGGTCGCCCATTTTTGCACACTCTCCCACCTGTATTGGGTGAATTGGAACGCGATGGACCGAGCAATGCACAGGATGGAGTCTTGCACTATCTGGACATTGTAGACGTGTAAGTAAAGGTAGAGCGGATGCCGCCGGATACTACGTAGTTCACGTAACACCAGAAATGGTTCATGGACCAATCTTACTGCTTCAGCGTTCAGCACGAGCACCATTTCTGTACTTTGCCTATCATGCTAGCAAGGCGGTTAGATAGTGCTTCTCTACGTTAAATTTGGCGTTAACAACTCGCCAGTCGTCTTACGAGTTGGGCTTCTACATCCCTTCCTTACTACTAACTGCTCCTACGAAAGGCTAACCCTTCGAATATTAGACTACAGCATTTTTTCGGTGGCTCAAGCCTGCTTGAGCATTAACTTTTTCGCTACCACTCCCGTTCGGCGCTCGATGTCTTTAACGTACCGCCTGTGTTATCGAAGGTAAAGCGGCTCGTGGGGCGGGTAAATGGCCTCATTCCGGAAAATCACCACGAGAATCACCAAAGCACGGCTCCATCAACCACGTCGTTTACTACCAAAAATCAAAGCCTTTTGGAAAGCCAGTTTGCTATCTAATTGCCTGTCGTTCTACCCTCCATTTCAATCACTTGTTCCAATCGATTGGGTATGCTTTTAACCCAACTGTCGATTTTCGGAGTGAGGTCATTTATCTGCCCTACGAGAGCGGATGTTTTCGAAGCGCACGAAGGACCGTTGTGCCGACTCGGCCAAGATCAGAAATCCCCGCAGCCAATCGGATGAGGAATTAGACCCCGCCTTGTCGAAGAAAATTTCAGCCCTGCGCCCTGTTGTGAGAATGGACAAGCCTAGACACATGTGCTGTAAAAATATAAGATGGTAGACTTTAGACAGTAGTAACGACAACTCTAAAACCTGCATTCCTGCAAATCTTTAGGGATTCAAAACGCCTAGTACCCAAATCTTTCACGTGCTTTCTTTCTTGTCCTTTCCACACGAAACCATCACTATTCGTCCTAACATCCAATCCAAATCAACCATGTCATCCTCCCTAAGTCCCTCACAATATCTCGAAAATGCTCGCATAGCACCCGAAGTCTTCCATCTGCGCCCAGATTATCGCGCCCTCCTAATGGTAGTCACCAACATCCCACCCGGCCCCAGCGACTCCGTTAGTGAGTCCATCCTCCTCTCTGCCGAATCCTCCGCCAAGTTAGCCCTCTCCCAAACCCCTGTCACGGAAATTCCCCACATCGCCGCCTGGCGCGAAGCATACAAATCCTTTGGCGCCAAACCCCAAAAGACACGCAACAGCCTGGAAGCGCTCCTCCGCCGCGCGGAAACCGGCCTCCCGCGTGTGAATCGATTCACTGATATCTACAACGCCATCTCCATCAAGCACCAGATTCCACTGGGCGGCGAGGATCTAGACAACTACCAAGGAGCGCCGTTCCTGATTCGCGCGAAGGGTGACGAGAAGTTTGTTACGAACTCTGGTGGGGAGGTGGTGACGGAGAATCCGAGTCCGGGAGAGGTTGTGTGGTGCGATGACGCGGGGGTTACTTGTCGAAGGTGGAATTGGCGGCAGTGCTCAAGAACTGCGCTGAGTGATGGGACGACGAGTGTATTGTTTATTTTGGATGCGTTAGAGCCGGTTGATGATAAGGCGCTGAATGCTGCTGCTGATGAGCTCAGCACCGGGCTGAGCAAGTTATCCCAAGATGTGAAGGTATCGCGTCGGATTCTTCGAGCATCATGAGTCTGATATTTGGTTGCTCTTATTGTAATTTGGATACAATCATGAATATCACGTGACAAGATCCTAGATCTCATCTACCGCTAGCCCTACAACAGAGTCAGTTGTAATCCTTCGTATTCCGCGTGAGAAAATACCTCGATACAAGCTTCAGGCGGCGGGATGGCCCCGCACTCAGTCATAATCTTGTTAAAGGCAATGGAAATATCTGGCGAATAGGTTTTTGTGATACAGCGATACCCCACATCGGTCGAGTAGTTACAAGATCTGACACAGCAACCGCTGCCTCCTGGCTGCCAGACGTAACTATTAACATCAAACCCAGGAGCGTAGATACCGACTATCGAGTAATTATGGGCACTGCTGGTGAAGTTGTACCGTTGTAGACCTTGATACAGAACCCGTGATTAGGTGTGCTGGCGAGGGGTGATATTGTCGATGAAAGCGTTTCTAATGACTGGTTGCTGGCGGATGTGAGGTTGCTACTTTGCAAAGAATATCAGCTTCATTAAGATGGAAGCGGATTCATTTCTCGGATAAATTGTACATACCTAGCTGCCGCAGTTGCTGTCGAATGTCCATCTCTTTCTCTCAACGCCAGACCTTCTCCCACTCCACCTCCTACTGCCCCTTCAACGATGACAACCGTGAGTACCACCACCAACCAGAATACCTCCGATTGTAATCCACGAAGTCGCATTATCTGCATCTCTACGATTGACAATCTTTTCAGAATCATTACCTACCACCTGCGGCGCCTCAGCCTAGTTATGGTTAACGATGCATTTGGTATCATCGTTCACAACCTGCGGTGCTTCCTTAAATTTGGTGTCGTTGTACGCGCCTGCGGCGCGTCCGCTGGGTCGGAATGAGACAAAGCTGCTATTCTGGCGGTTGTCATGATGGTGATTACAACCCAGCAGTGAGACTCTCTAGAGCAGAGGAAGCTCCCTGTCTAGATGCTGGTGAGGAGTAGCGAGGTGACGATCGAGCAGTCGGGTTGGTGCTCTGGATTCCGAAAGTCCTGTGGATGAATATATTCTCCCCGGAGAAAACCTGATCGACATCAGTTGTATCCTCTTTAGCTAGTTCTTCTGTTTCTGGCATGAGTAACGATAGCTCGCATTGGCCAGTCAGAATCTTTATGTGACGGAGAACGTCACACTGCTTTCAGCAAAGCAAAATCTTTGTGCCTGCACCTTATCTTCCAATGCTTATTAGCAAGCAAGAGATGAATAGCCGCACGCAGGCAGTATCTCCTTCGGGTATAGTATTCGAGCCGTGTAGGCAATTACTTGCTGTACTAATGCTCTGCCCTATCACATACCCTTGCGATAGCTTCCGAGAGGGTTTGCTAGAGCCGTGTCCTTCCAGCGACTCTACATTCACAATTCATCCCTCTTCCTCTTCGACGGCCCCGCTCTCATCCTCAATCTCACAGCATAAACGCCATGCGACTCCACCATGCTACTGATTGATCCGCCCGCCTCCACGGTCCCGACATGCTTCCCCAGCAGCACCGGCGCCTCCTCCGCAACACCATCGGCATAGCTCTTCTCCGTGTTATTCCAATACACGCCCGTCAAGTTCGCCGCGCTCGTCGAGTTGGCCTCGATGATTATGTTCGCAGCACTGTCCGGCATCCTATTCGCCCAGAGATCATAGACGTCCCATGACGACTGCGCCTCCTCGCTGTGCGAGCCGCCGGCATCGACGAAGATGTCCGCGAGCGAAGCATTTATCATGATGGCCTCGTCACCGAGGTTAAGGAGACCGACGAAGGCATCACCGCCCTCAAGCGAGCCGGACCACATCTGGATCTCGGCGATGGTGCCGCTACCCTGGGCGGCCGTCGCGTTGCTAGAGTTGTCGTTGTTGGGGAGGTAGTACCGCCACCGGCGCACGGCCGAGCTGCCTGTCTTATCTTGGCTGATAGCCAGCACGGCCGGGTTGGCCAGGATGGACAGTGTCTTGGCGTCCATGGCGCGGATGTCGTTGCCCATGATCATGGCGGACTTGACGGCTGCCCACATGGTGAAGTGGGTTACGTACTCCGTGTCGGTCATGCCACCGTTACCCACCTCGAGCATGTCGAGGTCGTTCCAGGCGCCCGGCTGGCCTTTGTCGGGATATGGCGCCATCTAGGTTCAGTCAGTGCTTCGCTCCGTAATTGGGCCTTTTCTAGGTGACGAACCTTGTTGAGGATGTTCATAGCAGAACAGTGGAAGCCAGGTAGCGCGCAGTCGTAGCCCTCATCGCCAGAACATGGACACCGCGGATCTACGCGGTTGAAATTGTCCGTAATATCACCGGACATCCGCCAGGAGTTTGCAACAGTTTGCGCCCACTTCCAAGGATAATCGGTTCCCCAGTTGCACATTGAGTACAAGATTGGCCGTCCGGTGGCATTCAAGGCGTCTGACATCCTCTTATAGCGGTTATATGTGATCAATGGAGTGCCCTCTTGTCCCTCGTTGTAACAGTTGTCGTACTTAAGATAGTCGACCCCCCAGCCCGCGAATGTCTGGGCATCAACTTCTTCGTAGCCCAGCGAACCCTCGTACCTGCCACAGGTCAAGCTACCAGCGGTGGCGTACATGCCGAATTTCATTCCCAAATTGTGGATGCTGTCGGCGACGTGCGCCATGCCGTTAGGAAAGCGCGTGCTGTTAGCAACCAGGGTACCGTTTTCTGAACGGCCGGCAGACCAGCAGTCGTCGAGGACGACGTATTGATAACCGGCATCACGGAGACCGTAGTCAACCATGCGGTTTGCCGTGCTGATCAAGAGCTCTTCCGAGACATCACAGCCGAACGCATTCCAGTTGTCCTTGAAGCGAATCAGTCTTGTCTGCTTGGATTGCGCGGGCTGGCAGGGCAGGGGACTTAAGACTTACCCATCCCATCTGCGGTGTCCTCGCTAGGCCATTCTTGACGCCGCCAACACCATTGGCAGCCAGCACGCCGCTGGCAAACAGCAGGCCAGCATTGAGTAGGCTTTGGACCATCATAGCTCCGGGCCGGCTTGGTTTCGATCCAGTTTCACGCTAATTGAAAGCTGTGGAGTGACGATAGATACAAAGGCAGTAGGGAAGAGCTTTTGCTTCCAAGCAAGCTGCGGACCTACCTACTTAAGCTCTCGGACCTCCCCAAAGCATATCGCGTGAGGGGTAAGGTGGCATAGAATGTCATGGCTGCTGAAGCCCATGACCTTGCCATGGCCGTTTCCAACAGCCCACAGGCACCAGTAGATGCCAGGCGAGCAGATCCGGACTACTGAGCCATGTGTCAGCCGCGCCACGAAGCTCAACAGTTCCATCATGGCCCTGCTTCACAGCTCCATGGGGAGATTTTCGGGAGGATACAGAAGTGCAGCTAAGAGGTGGGGAGCATGCGGGATGAGAAGTAACCTGGCATAAGCGCCTAACGTAAGCTATCCCATCGGCTGGCAACACGTCATGGCCAAAATAACGGCGACTCCAAGGCTCAAAAGCATAGAAATTTAACCCCTTGCCACCGATTGAACATCACTAAATCTGGTCTGCATAGCCGATTATAAGCTTTATAGAGTGCTTTCTATATTGCTTAATCACATGAACGAGCTGGCATTGATTTAGAGAAACTTCACACCAGTGTCAAAGCGTGATGCTCATGGTTGGAGTCGGGGTATTTTCGGCCACGACGTGGCAGGGTAGGCAATCAAATGTGGTTCGTGCACAAGCGGTCTTAGCACCACTTTGAGTGCTGTTCTGCTCGTTTCAGACATGTGTGTATCTATCCCTCTATCATGAAGCAAGAAGACCCTGGTCCAGACGCAAGAAATGGCTATCAACATGACACATTGGCGTTCATTACTCTGCTTGTCCCTAGGCCCTTTCTGCATGGAAACCGAGCGCCGTCGCACAGATGCACGTAACGGCATCCTCTACAGCTCATCCCGGTGGATGGCATAACGTTTCCCTTCCGCCCGACAAAGGCTTTAGTCTGTATATCTTCACTGTATGCCCCGGCACTGGGGCCTTTAGCACGCTGCCAGGCGCGATCCCTCTAAGCTCCTTGCCTCTCAACCTCTCATCACCTATTTTCAAGCCCTCCTTATACGGAGTCGTCGTAGATGTCGCTCACGCCCCAGGTGTGGACGTGGTCCTCAATCCCGGACAAACCGAGGTACTTGTTTGCTAATCTGATCTGGGGCGGGAAGATAGGAAAGAGTGAGCAATCGGTGCCGCACAGGGTTGGCAGCAGGGATAGGATATGTGGCAGCGGCGTGCCAAGAGATACCTGCAGTTAGGGGTAGGCGCAATAATCGGTCAAAAGCTCGGTAGCCTATTACTTTGATGCGTTATGGAGAGGGGTTCACAGCTAAACTACTGCCGCAAGCAAGAGCTCTTGAGGAAGCTGCAGCTCTAGCGAAGTACCTACCGCTTGGATAGAGGCCAAAAAACGCGTGTTGGCCGTCGGTTGAAACTGTAATTTTCCCGAGAGTCTTTCCAAGCGCCTAATCTCCCCGCGAATCCGTCCATAAAGCAGCCTAATATTGAATCCGGCGGTCACGGGAGCGAAAATTCAACCGGCACGAGCCTCGCCACGCCTACGATCGTCCTAGCTTGCTGCTGCTGAGTTCGCGATTCGATAAAGAAGAAGTTAGGAGGGAGGATTAGAGGGGTACTATTATAAGATCTAACTTGATTACTTTATTATAGCCCTCTAGATTACTTTTTTATAATATCTAGATTTCTTCTATCTATATAAGATCTTCTTAGATATACTACCATAACTGTGGGCTTAGTTATATATATCAAGCTTTCTAGTATACGTAGATAGAGAAGAAAATAAGAGAAAAGCTTGAATATATATAAAAAAAAGGGAGTAAAGCAGTTCGAAGTATTCGAGCAGGTGCTCCAGTGAGCAAGTCGTGTGCGTGCGGTAATAGGGCATCAAAATAAGAGTATTAAGGCATCATGGCGCTAGGCACTAAAAATAAATAATGAATGAGCTAAATCGTGTGCATTACATGCTATTCTATATACGCAAAACGTGCTATGCGATGTTAATAAAGAAAGGATTTAATTGATACATACTCGCTAGTGCTCATCCCAAACTAATCGAAAAGGTTAAACCTGAAAGATTCGCCCTTGAAGACCATCGCCGTATCTACACACTCTGCCGCTCCAGGAAAGCTCTCAGAGTAGACGCTCCGCTCAACCCGAGAATTCTGCGACTAATTTAGGTCATTCCAGCAGCCGAGACCAAGACCGCTATCCCCTATGCCTAACGATGTAGATAAAACCCTCTTGCCGACGCTGCATGCATCAAGCCAACGTAAATATCTCTGGCGTCCATCCATATGCCCTATTCAATCTTCTTCCGAATCGCCTCGCAGTCCGGAAAGGTATCTTGCCGTGCGGATGTGGTTCGTGGAAGCTGATGCTGCGCTCAACGTCCAGCTTGGTGGGAGTGAACTGCCATACAGAGCCGTAGAGCTTCTCGGCGACAAAGCCGGTAGATACCATTGCATAGAGAAAGTCCGGCCAGGATATCTCGCCCTGTTGTTGTTCGTGATGAGAGGGTTGGTGAAAGAGGGTTGAGAAGACTTTGAAGACACGTTTGTCGAGAGTGAATATGGGCTGCTTGTGGGGATGGACTGTGTCAAGGCTTGTGACTGTGCTGCTGTGGGTTCGATGTTGCTGCTGGGTTGGCCTCAGGTTTTGATCTTGGACTTGGGGCGAGCGGGTTCGAGCTGGGATACGGTACGTTGCGTACGTTCGTGGTCTAGGCCGAGTGTAGTAGAGAATCTTGCGCTCAGGAAGCCCTCCGCTTGCGTATGTTCTTCTTCCCCCTTTTGAACACGCTCTGGTTCGACCCATTCTCCTGTTCGCTGCAGTAGCCGCTCAACGAGCGATCCAGAGGGGAGCGAGTCATGGAGTCCGTGCCCTGTTCGTGCGATATAATGCGAATTCACTCTCTTCCAGAACTGGTCCAGGTGCTCTTCGGCTCTGCGCATCGCCGCTGTATTTGCTTTTGTTCTACGCTTATCGGCTGGATAATGGAACCTGCGCTCAGAAGGCTCTCCAACGTCCGCCAATCTCATGTCTTTGGCATTGTTGAGGAGGTTTGCCAACGGGCTCATCTCCTTGGCGAAATCCTTTTTGATGCCCTCCTCCGTGGCCTCCTCGGTCCCATCGTCAAGTGAGGGAGATACGAATGGCTCAAACAATCGGGGCTGGTAAAGACGTAACTGGCGCTGCAGTTCGGATATGAATGCCAAATCAGAAAACTTATCTATAACCCAGGACGAGAGCCTATCCTTCTTCTGCTTTGGGTCTTGTTGGAACTGGCGTTCAAAATCCTCCACAAGATTATGCAACCCGCACAAGTCGCGTTGGGTCTTGTCGAACAATTGGGAGAACATAAACAGAAGATAGTCCGTCTTACCGCGAGCTCGAACTCGAATGATTGTTGAATTGGGGTCTTGTGGCTCCCGAACCCAGTGTGTTCGAAGAGGTGGAGACGCGGGAACGCCCGTCTTGAGATACATCAGGGGGCCGTTCGCGGTCTGCTCCAGCAGATGTTTGTAACGACGGAGCGACAATTGGTATTCCTTGGGCAATGGTTTGTCGCGGGAAATCGAGTCGTTGTACTTGTCCCGGAGACACGTCAAATCTACGAGCTGACGATGGATGACACTCCAGGTTATTAGAGCTCCGTAAGCTTCGGTGACGACATTACCAAGCACCCTGTTCCAAAACAGCGGCTTACCCAGCACGGGGTGTTGATTGCCGTAAATGTCCGGTAGGACTTCTTGCCGATGCTCCTTCCACTCAACTACCGTCTCGGCAAAATAGCTGGGATCCTCTCTCAACAGCCAGATATGGTCTTCAGCCTCGGATACTTTCGAGCCGATAAAAGCCTCTAGGCGTTTGAAATCCATCCAGGAAGGTATTCTATACGGAGTTTCCGCAGCCAGAGCAGCTAGTGAGAGATACCCGTTCGACTCCGCAGAGATGATGGACGGGGGCTCCGGCTGGGTGGCTACTGACGACGGATCGGTCAAGGCTGATGGCGGAACGTCGTGCAGGATGAGTTGACAGCATTCCACAAGAAAATGAAGGATCCTCTCCTGGATTTCCAGCAAGTTCAGTCCATGGCCCGGGGGAAATCCTACTCCAGTGATCATCCAATCCAAAGCCTTGTTATTCTCCTCCCAAGAATAGAGTCTACCATAGGTCTCCGGGGTAGTCTGACTGTTGAAGAGCATCGTATACTCATTTAGGAACGGCGGGACAATAGTATGACTGACGTAGCCGACATGGGCAGCGTCGATGTCACAGTATGCGAATGTGTGTGGTAGGTGACGCCCGCGCGCGTTTAGGAACAGCAGCAAAGCTTTGCTTTTTGTGAGATCTTCGAGGTTGATATACGGCCACAAAAATGCCTCCCTACTCTGCGCCGCCGATGCAATGATGGATTGTCCTCCGGCGGCCTGTTGCCTTGATTTGTCCCTCAGCACCTGAAAGTCTGGGCGATGGGTGGCAGACATGTTCGGCCAAGCAGTGAGCAAGATCTTCTTGCGCTGTTCCTTTGTTTTCTTGGCCCAGCGTTTTCTTAGCACCTCCTCGTACCTCTCCAATAAAGCATTGAGAGTAGTCCAATCTTCGAAGATTTTTCCTGCTCGGCTTCGCGCTTCTCTCTCCACCTGAGCCGGGGTAGGGAAACTCGGCATTGGCATGCCTATAGAAGCCATGAACGTAGGATTTTTCCAGCTCGCCTGCGTCATGTCATCCGGTGAATCATCCGAGTTGTCATCCGGCCAAGTTGCCAGGCGGGACCCTGGGGTAAAGGCCATTTTGACACCACCGACGCTCGGTAGATTCTGCTAGTAAGCGTACAAAGTTAACAGATATTTGTAAAGGAGGGTTATACAGGGTCTGAGTAATTTCCGGCAGGATATATCTTGTAAGGTGGAACTAGATATGCAGGAATGAGAAGTTCTATTGCTCTACCTAAGTGTTACGAACCACGGCTGGGCCGTCGGTCCGAACAAGAGTGATTAGTGCCAAGGGTCACGTGCGGACTAGTTAAAAGTAATTAGTGCCGAGCCTGGCGGAGGCGTGGAGGCACGAGTCGGCAGACTAGAGGTGATAGTAGTGCTTACAGCGCTCGGGGTGCGAGCACTACTAGTATTACTATTATCCGCGCTCGCAACAATAGTAGTGCTCGTAGTGCTATTACTACTAGCACTACTATCAGGACTAGAGGAGACTAGTATATAGGCAGGCGATTTCATACTATAGTATAGCTTGGAATTATACTTAATTCAAAATAAGAAATTCGCTTCTTATAACTTAATTCTACCTTTTATCTTTCGCGAGAAGTGCATTGCACTTCTAGTTCCCAGCGAGTTAATTAGCTGCATCACCTCTACCTATAGGTGCATATAAGCCTAAGTAAGCGTAATTAAATTACCGCAATTCTATCTACTCCGATGTAGTAAAAGAAGGTCTTTTCTTTCTTTTTTTTATATAGTCTAGACTAGGAGAGATATTATAAGGCTCCTATATATTAACTATATATATTTTTATCGATAGAATAGAGGCTTTTATATGTAATTCTAAATAGCGGGTGCTTATCTGTATGGAGTGTAGGTTCTATTTACCACTAAAATAAGACTTCTAGAAGCGACACCTTAGAAACTAACTATATTAAATATTTAGATAATAGCTAAAATCTTTAATCGAACTTTTCTCTACTTATAGGCTACTCGCGCTAGATAATGTCTACTATCTAGCTAAGAAGATTATCTAGGTAATTAATAGGCTTAAGTAGTATAATAGCTTCTATTACTACCTCTACTCTAAGGGGCTTATATAAAGCCTTAAAACTATTAAGAATCACGTGTTATAGGTGTATAGCTAGAAGCTTTTAGAATATAATAAGCTAACCTTATTATAGGCTAAGTGTAAGCTCTAGATCTTCTTTATAGAGACGTAGTATATTAGATATTTTATAGTAGAGAAAAGGGCTATAAAGTCTATTAACTCGAGGTCTATAACGCTAGTAATAGAAGAGAAGAAGTTTTTCTACTAGTAGAATAAGAATCTAAAGTAGATAGAGCGCGATATAGCTAAGAAAGCTAATAAGATATATAGCTTTAATAGCTATAAGTTGGTAGTTATATTTTAGCTAAAGAGAACTGGTATTATAGAGTATATTTAAGACCTAAAGAAAGACAAAATTCGGGCCTTAATTACTCTATTTAAGGATAGCGACTAGGAGCTAGAGTTAACTACTATACTAGAGGGAATAGAAACTATTCTATAAAAGACTTAGAGCTAGTGTTTCGATAGGCTAGACTATATATTAACCTAGTTTTAATAGGTTATTCTAAACTACTTCTAGTCCTCTAAGACAGAGCTACTAGGAAAGACTTAAGCCTTTAATCCGGATAAAGAAGCTAGTATACTAGTAGCTTACTTTAGCCTATAGAAGTAACTCTTAGCCTATATATACCGCGTAGTCGACCGCGATTACTTTATAATAGAAGGAAGCTAGAAGTAGTAGTATTAGAAGCGAAGTAAGCTAGAGGATATAATCCGTCTTAATAGTAAGTAGTAGAACGCGTGGGAAGAGACACTATAGGCGGCTAGTATAAGTGATAGTCTAGCTTTAAAGAGGGTATTAGAGACGCTATATATATAGCTTATCTACTATAACTTTAGTAATAAGTAATATAGCTCCCTGTTAGTAAGCTTCTATATAATACTTAGCGTAAAGCTGTTAATATTAGGCTAGATGCGGCTAGGAGACTATAGTAGCTACCTATTAGACCTAATCTAGATAGTATAGCTACTTATCTTCTACTATAGCGCTAGCCAGAAACTAGTGGACTTAAGAGATACGCTAAAGCTAATTAAGAAGATCTATAAGAAGTTTCTATAGTAGATAGCTAAGTCTCCTATAGGTAAGATCTTACGGTAGCGGCTACTACTACTTAGGATCTCTAAGGATAATATTAGGGCTTACTAAGCGCGCTAGAATAAGAATAAGTAGATCCTAGCCTATAATAATATAGAGTTAGAGATAGATAAGATACTGAAGCTAATACTATTAGAATATAAGCAAGCGTGCAAGCTACTATATAGGGAGCTAATATTTAGTACTTAATAGCTACTACGAATACACGTATAGGCTTTAAGAGATAACCTAGACTATAATACTTTTAGCTAGTTCTTCGGTCTATATTAAGAGAATACTAGGCTCTTAGAGAGCCGGAATAGGGTATTACAGATAGTTATCTAGAATTCTAAGTAGCTTAGAGACTCTTTTTTAGTAGAGGTGGACGGTGGAGAATAGGTCTAGCATGATAAGGTGATTATACTCTACGAGATAGCGGCGGATAAGTTCCTAAAGAGGCTTCTAGTATTAATTTATATAGATGTAGATTAGCCTCTTAGGAAGCTAGAGCTCTTCTTAATTACTTAGCGGAATAGCTAAAAATAGTGTAATGTCTTTATCTAGCACGAACTAGTTATACTCTATATAATATACTATAAGGGCTAGTAGTAGACAGGCGCGTATAAGAATAATATCTGCTTCCTACCCTTAGTAGTAGGGAATCTCCTACTAGACTATATTATTTATATAATTCTACTATATTAGAGCTTCCTTTATTAGTCCGCTCTAAAGGCATTAATCTCGCCCTATCTATAGTGAAAGGATAATAGTGTAGTGGTGCAGAAGGTTTATCACATGGAAGCTAGTATAGGGTGCACGTGCGGAGGTTTAAGGTTCTTAGATAACTAAGACAAGTAAGCACTAGTTGTATTATAGTATTAAGTAGTATCACACTCGCTCTATATACTATCTAGTCTTATATAATCTATCACTATGGTTCTATCGCTACCTTAATAGTTCTACCTTAATACCTTACTTCTATAGACGTATACGACCTACTTACCTAAGTCTATACTTAAATCCCTTACCTATAACATATTAGTAACTATACTAGAGGATTTATAAGATAATATATAGGTGTGTAATTCGCGGATAAGAGCTATTATAAGGATTAGAATTCATATTAAGGACGGTATATAGGCTATAGACGTATTATAGTAGAAGGAACCGCTAATATTTTAAACTCTAAGGGCTCTACTAGATGTAGAGTATTAATAGATAGGATAATAGTTAGGGAGAGGACTCTCTTAACTTAGTATTATAACATAGGCATTAAATTAACCTTAAGAAGACTTAGTCTAGATTAGAGGAACTAATATCAATATATAGACGCGGATGTAGTTACTAAATAATAGTCTAAAAGGGACTTATTTAGCTATAAGGAGTATAGATAGCTTAGATAAGAGAATACGCATTTAAGAAAGTAGTGTTTAATAGAAGAAGCTAGAAACTACCCTTTTAGTAAGATTATTATTTACTTGTTTTAAGTATAGCCGCAAAAAGATTTAGAATAGTTTTAAGTTGCTAGCGCGAAAGAATAGAATTATATTCTAGTTAGAATAAAGCTCTAACTAGTAGGAGACGGCTCTGAAATCTAGAAAGTATTAAATAGAAGTAATACTATAGAGAGCGCTATAAGATAGCTAGTAAGTATTTATAGGACTCTTCTCTTATAAAAAGCTAGTACCGAATTATCGCTAAAAGCTTTTAAGTGCTATTTACTTTTATACTACTTGCTTTTAAAGAATTTCTATTTACTCTTATTAGAACTTTCGACTTAATATTTCTCTTATCCTCTATAATATTTACTCTATCTCTTAGACTTAGTACCGCTTAAGTCTATACCGCTAGAGGCGTTACGAGCATATTAAGTAGTAATAATAAGACTACTTCTCTACTTATATCCTCTTCTAGAGAAGCTCTAAAGCTTATATCTACTTCTATAGGCGGAGCCCCTCCTATAGAATCCCCTACTAATATAAGAAATACTATAGATTAGCTTGTTTCCTAGTTTAAACCTCATCTAATAGCTTTAATAATACTAATACCTATAGTAGGTTCTCTTAAACTTCCTTTATTTAATAGTGTTAATACTACTTACTAGCTTTATTAGTATAAGGCTACTATAAGAGATTGCTATCTTACTAATAGAGAGCGAGTTACTAGACTTCTAGACTTTTACACTAAATAGATACAAGCTATAATTAAGGGAATAAAGAAATAGAAGAATAATAATTAGGTTAAGCTTAAGGAGTGTATTAAATTAGAGTTTTATAATAATAACTCTATATAGCGTATTAGAATTAGACCCTTCTTTATTAACTAGCTTTAGAATATAAAACTAAGGTTACTAACCTTAAAGCTTTCACCTATAAGTATATTATTATATTCTAGAAGTATATAAATAATAGTGTACTTAATTAATACTTATAGTATACTTAGTTCCTTTAAAAGCTACTAATTAAGACTTAGAAGACTCTTTTTAAGTGATATAAATTCGTAACTTATAATCTAGCGTCTTTTTAATTTAAGTAATTAATAGAGAAGATTAAGAAGTTATTCCTTATTAAAGAATCTATCTAAATGTTTAAGTATTTAGGAGCGATCGATTTATTAGACACTCTTAAGTATCTAACTAAGGGTATTTAGAGTATAAATATACTAAGAACTAAGAGCACTCTATTCTCTAAAGTACTAACTTTTCTTCTAATAATAGTAGTAATATTAGGCTAGGGCTATACGCTCTTATAGACTATATGGCTAGTAGTACCTATAATTCCTATAATTTTAAAGGCGCTTCCGCTTATCTATAAGAGTAAAATTAATAATTCAGCGCGCTAGTTTACTATAATATTACGAATAAGAGCTAGCGGACTAATTGTATACTAGCTA